TCACCAAACTAAATGAATCAAATGAATCAATTATTTCAAACAAATCACTTGACACATTAAAAATAATAGAAGATTGTGCCAATTGTGCACAAAGATATAATAATTATTATTTATTTTATGAATCATTAAACAAACTAAAAAAGATTTCAGAAGAATTAGACAAAGAAGAAAATGAGGATAGGAAAACAGAAATAATTCATCAATTAAATGATGAATTAAACAAATTAGATGTTGAAATAAATAAAACAGTATTATGTTATGGGTGTAAAAAGAAAAATATATTCAACCCATTATGTGAATTACTCACCAAACTAAATGAATCAAATGAATCAATTAATTCAAATCAATTATTTGACACATTAAAAATAATAGAAGATTGTACCAGTTGTGCACAAAGATATAATTATTATTATTCATTTTATAAGTCATTAAAAAAGATTTCAGAAGAATTAGACAAGGAAGAAAATGAAGAGACAAAAGCAGAAATAGTCCATAAATTAGGTGATGAATTAAATAAATTAAATATTGAAATAAATATAGTAATATGTGATGGGTGTCAAAAGAAGAGTATATTCAACCCATTATGTGAATTACTCACCAAACTAAATGAATCAAATGAATCAATTATTTCAAATCAATTACTTGACACATTAAAAATAATAGAAGATTGTGCCAGCTGTGTACAAAAAAAATATAATCACTTTAATTTCTTTTATGAGTCATTAAATGAATTAAAAAAGATTTCAGAAGAATTAAGCAAGAAAGAAAATGAAGATACAAAAGCAGAAATAGTCCATAAATTAGGTGATGAATTAAATAAATTAAATGTTGAAATAAATATAGTAATATGTGATGGGTGTCAAAAGAAGAATATATTCAACTCATTATGTGCATTACTCACCAAAATAAATGAATCAAATAAAATAATTAATTCAAACAAATTACTTAACACATTAAAAATAATAGAAAATTGTACTAGTTGTAAAGAATATTCACAAACAAATAACTCTGATTTATTTTATGAATTATTAAACAAACTAAATAAGATCTTGGAAAGATTAGGAAAGGAAGAGAATGAAGATAGGAATGCAGAAATAATCCATAAATTAGGTAATGAATTAAACAATATACATTACAAAATAAATGGAATAATATTATGTGATAGTTGTCAAACAAAAAAAATTGGAAATAAAAAAATAGTTATATTTCTTGATGAATGTAAACAAAATGCTGGTAATAGTAATTATATGAAATGGATTCCATTCAATAAATTTAAAAGCATTGAATACTTAGCTAAAGGTGGATTTGGGGAAGTACACAAAGCAATGTGGATTACTGAAAATAGAATGATTGTATTAAAAAAGTTATATAATTCCAATGATCAAATTTTAGATGTTTTAAAAGAGGTAAACATTGATCTATTATAAAAGTTATTATTATTAAATGTAAATATTAATAGTGAATATAATCATAATAATTTACAGTTAAAAATAAGTAATAAATTTGGACGTTTTGTTAACAAATGTTATGGAGTTACTAAAGATCCAAATGAGAATAACTACTCATTGGTATTTGACTATGCCCCAAATGGAGATTTACATAATAATTTATTAAAAAATTTCAAAGAAATTACTTGGGA